TACACCCTAAAATGCATTCTGCTACTCCTTCTAAGTACGGCAATAGCATATGTGTGAGAGTTTTCCACAACTTGGCCGGATAGAGTGGCCCAACATTCCAGTAGCAACTTCAGGCATTCTAGGGGCATAAATTACACATCTAATTTCCTGACAGCCTATCACATTTTTGAGGCCCTGGAGCACCAGAACCTTGGAAACACCCACAAAATGACTCTCTTCAGCTTATCAAAGAGTAAACAACAGATTACGTGTGGTTTTAGTAGTGCAGTTATCCACAGAGGAGAACATGGTCCAGGCAGCAGGTAGGGATGTGGTCAGCGACAATGAAAGGCATCATCCAGCCAGCAGGCAGAAATACTGTCCTTAGCCAGTACAGACAGCAGACAGAGATAATATCAGCACACCCAAAGCATGAAAGATGTGTACTGGCAGTACTGGCAGTACTGGCAGTAGGCAGGAACATGGTCCATAGTCAGTACAAGTAGAGAGCAGAGTTCTGGTCAGTTCAGGCAGCAGGTAGAGGCATGATCAATTAGCAGGTCAGGGTTAGCTGGCAGAAATATCAGACTCGGTCAGGTAGGACCAGGGCACAGGGGTAGAGGCTTCTCTCCACCCAAATCTCTTCGAAGCCTCCAGTCTACAGACCCTAATCTGAGGTTTACGAAACCTGGAAAAAACCTAAACTTTGTTTTCTCTGGTTGGGAAAAACTACTCTGGATCCCCTCACATACATGATACCCCTGTGTTATCATGAGTCCCAAAAGATCAGTCCGAGAGGCAGAAAACGTGGTCAATAAACGGGCTGAGGTCAGTTCAGGTGGAAAGCAGAAATATGGTTGACAAACAATCTAGGGGGCAGGCAGAAGTATTGTTGTTAAACAGGCCAGGGTCTGTTCGGGTGGCAGGCAGAGGCATGACCAATTTAGGTGGCAGGCAGAGGTGTGGTCGAAAGCAGGTCAGGGTCAGTTCCAACAGGCATAGGTGTGATCAGTTTAGGCGACAGGCAGTGGCATGGTCAAATAACAGGCCAGGAGCAGGCAGAGGCATGAGGAATGTGAAAGCAAACAGCAGGAAGACAGTATTATGTTCACCATTCAGTACTTAACTAATAATGTAGAGAAGTATGGTAATGGTGGAAGTAATCACCTCTGAAGAGGCCTGATTGGGAAGCACACTGGAAACAATTATAGCTGGTGTCTCATCAAACTCCTCTTCTGGAGCACACCCAACATTTTTTTTTTACGTCTTTGACCTATTTCTCTCGGAGGGATTTTATTGGGGAAATGGTGTCCATGGAGTCTGCTCAATCCATCTGAGCAAATGCTTTCTGGCGGGCCTTCCGGGTACAAAAGGGCAGATACAACTTCCTCCTGGTATCTAGATTCAGGTCTCTCATGGATTCTGGTAGATCACATATGATTTAAAGATTTCCAAATTGAAAAGATAAATAGAAACATTTTTTTTAACAATGGTGGGCTCTTCTTGTTGAAAGGTAGGGCTGGATCATCTGATCATTGTAGTTGACTACCCCATAAACATATTTTATTCATGCACACATTCTGGTTTCTGGACTGGGCCATTCCTTCCAGGGATTTGGACGAAGGTGTCATTGTAGATTGAGGACAGTGTATACAGTATATGTCTTGTTTGTCCCTCCACTTCATAGCCAATACTTCTTCATTCTGCAAACTCACCGACTCTTTCTGTTAGCTCTTAAGCCTAGAACACACGATCAGAAAATTGTCAGAAAAAAACACTTTTGACGTGATCGCACAATAATCTGGTTGTTAGTACAAAACAAGCATGAACATTTTTCTCATATGATATCAGATTGTATGATTTTCATTTAATCAGTACAGTTTTCATCCAAAAATACAATACAAATACAAAACAATACATTACATCATTTCCAATTTTTTATTCTGTCGTACAAGAATCTTCATAACTTTAGTAACCCCTTTATTTTCAATATGAGACTACCATGCAAAAAAAAGGATGGTCATTTATCGATATTCTCATTGTGTGCACTGGGCTTTGCTGTGTCACATGCTAGTGTTTTCTTCTGGTAAAGAGGCAGGCTGGTATAATAGTTATCAATGTATAGATGATAACCCTTTTCAAGGAGTGGGAATACAAGTTCCCACACAACTTTTCCACTTGTTCCAATATAGTTTGGAGAGTCAGGGGGGTGCAGTTAGGTGCTCCTTTCCTTTGTACATGTGGAAGGCATACAGTCAGGTCCATAAATATTGGGACATCGACACAATTCTAAAATTTTTGGCTCTATACACCACCACAATGGATTTGAAATGAAACGAACAAGATGTGCTTTAACTGCAAACTGTCAGCTTTAATTTGAGGGTATTTACATTCAAATCAAATCAGGTGAACGGTGTAGGAATTACAACAGTTTGCATATGTGCCTCCCACTTGTTAACCATTAGCCGCCCAGCCAATGGCCGTTTGGCGGCTTCAGATGTGTTCCTCCATTCCGGGTGCACGCCATTTGGCGTGCTCCCGCACATGCGCCGTTTGCGCTAGTGCAGAGCGGCGCAGCAGTGCGATCTGTCGGAGGCCGTGCACCTCGGACACGGCCGATGACAGATCCGAGTACGGACTCCCGTTGCTGGTACCATGTGACCTGCTGTGACCAATCACAGCAGGTCACATGACAGTTGTATACATGGATGGCTTCATTCATGATGCCATCCATTGTATACTAGTGCTTAGCTGTGAATGGTCACAGCTAATGACATGCACATGTCATGTGATTAGTTGTGACCAAATCACAGCTAAGCACAAAAAAAAAAAAAAGCTGAATGAATCGATTTCATTCAGGTAAATGCTTGCTTATACCTTATGTGTAAAAAAAAAAAATACTGATCACTGTACTATTGTACTATTTTGGTCATAGTAAAATATGAAAAAAAAATCTTAAAAAAAATAAAACAAAATGTAATAAAAAATTAAATATAATAAAAAAATTTAAAAAATATATATTTTTTTTTTTTTCATACTGTCACCAGTCAGTGTCCCTGTTCACTGCCATGCCAGTTATATGATGACGCTGTACTGCACTGGTGACAGTATGTAAAAAAAAAAATAGTGAAAATAATTTTTTTCATTTTTTCATTTTCGGAAAAATTATGACAAAAAAATACAACTTCAAAAAACTCGCCATGCCTCTTATGAAGTACATCGGACTGTCTACTCTGCAAAAAGGGGTCATTTGGGGATATCTGTACTATTCTGACATTCTTGGACCTCAAGAAATTAGATTGGCCGTCAGTACTTCAGGATTGATCAATATTCAGATCTATACCATAGTTTGTGAACTCTATAACTTTCCTACAAACTAAATAATACATCCTAATTTGGGTTATTTTCACCAAAGACATGTAGCAGAATACATCTCGGCTTAAATTTATGAAGAACAATTATTTATTTGTAAACTTTTATAACAGAAACAAAGAAAAATGTGTTTTTTTTTTTCAAAATTTTTGGTCTTTTTTTGTTAATTTAGCAAAAAATAAAAACCCCAGCGGTGATTAAATACCACCAAAAGAAAGCTCTAGTTGTGTGAAGAAAATAATAAAATTTTAGTTTGGGTACAGTGTTGTATGACCGCGCAATTGTCATTCAAAGTGTGAGAGCGCTGAAACCTGAAAAATGGCCTGGGCAGGAAGGTGTAAAATTGCACGGTATTGAAACGGTTAAGGGACCAAAAGTAATGGGACAGAATAATAATTTATAGACCTGACTGTACGTGTACCCTGTGGCTCTGTCACATAACTTGTACAGTTTCTCCCTATGTTGGGCCCTTCTATCAGAAATGAACTGCTTGATGCCAAGCCTTCCAGGGAAGTGGATAAGTGACTCATCCACACAGATGTTTTTTATGAGATAAATAATTGGGAGAATTTCTCACAACCTTGTGAATAAGGCTGAAAAGGCTAAAACATGTTAACATTTGCCACATGTAATTCTGTCTTTTATGGAGAACCAATGAACTCTGTAGATTTTTTTAAGAGCAAGTAAGGAGTTGCGGGTCATTTTCTAAATTATTATGTTTGCAGCCTGTGTGAGATGGGAAAACAGCTCTCATTGTTTGAATACTGTTTGTGTGGAGTAAATTAAATGTTTTGACTGACATTCTGCGATTTAGCCACAAGATGTCACTGTTTTTCTAAGAGCCTCAGACTGCATAGATATTTCTATATTCATGAAGAGGTGAGGTTTTCACACAGATTTTAGAGAGAACAGGAAGAAGAGAGAGAAGCCATGTTTAGAGGATGGTGATGGAAGGAGCCATGTGAGCAGAGAATCTGATGGCATCCAGGTGTGAGAGCATCCCTCAGTAACCAGAGCTGCAGCGAAGTGAAGCTGATCATGTCCATGACCCTGATCCTGTTCAGAGAAAGGACGATTGCTGCCAGGAATGCTGATGAGAGCAGAGGAACTAAGCAGCATATACTGCGATACCCAAGAAGTAGTAAAAAGTGCCTTAGTAAAAATCAACAAGCTGCTACGCACAAGAGATAGGTACCAATGACCTATGGAGAAGACAATATATGTGAAAGGTGCAGCGCTTGTAAACAATAGGTATAAAAAATTCCTTAGTGGATCAAATAATAGATACAAAATAAAGGATATGGGGTAGTCCTGCAAATACAGGTGAGTATGAATAGTTGAGGTGACTTTGATATCCCTGTAGAGGTGGTAATGAAATGCGCGCTCACCGGACGCACATATTAAATGCGCCTTGTGTATAATTATCCTGATGCCAGGTGATGGGTGGTCTTCCCTCTATCGGATCCGAGGTAAGTTGTCCTTTTCCTCAAAAGGTCCCCCTATATGGTCCTAGTGGATGCTGTCACTCCGAATGGCCTGGGTGGTAAGTAGTAATCCGTCCTTGGAGTGGGTCTGTGGGCTAGAACACTCCCCCAGGGGGCGACAAGAACACTCCCATAGTGTAGTATGTTAAACCAAACTTTTATTCAAAGAGGTGCATCAGGTAAAAACATGTGTACAACGTTGCAGACAGTAGTCTGTTAAGGGACTGACCAGCTGGTAATTAAAGATGGCCGCCGGAGCTCCACGTTGCTCTGGCGGCGTGACGTCACGGCGCGGTGTGGCTCCTCCTGATGCGTATCGTGCTCCAGCACGTCCTTCAGAGGGGGGCGTCAGGAGGAGCCACACCACGCCGTGACATCACGCCGCCGACACAGGATTTCCAGGAGCAGGCTGGGAATCAGTTATTGGCCAGTTTAGCAGGACATCAGGGGCTGGCACATCAGGCTGCGCAGCAGACAGAGGCACATCGGGCTGCGCAGCGGGCAGAGGCACGTCAGGCTGGGCAGCGGGCAGAGGCACGTCCGGCTGGGCAGTGGACAGAGGCACGACAGCGGGCACCGAGTCATTTGGCACGACAGCAGGCACTGAGTCATCTGGCAGGACAGCAGGCACCGAGTCATCTGGCACGACAGCGGGCACCTAGTCATCGGGCAAGTCAGTGGGCACCGAGTCACCGGGCACCGAGCCATCTAGCAGAACCGTGGGCACCAAGTCATCTGGCACGACAGCGGGCACCAAGTCATCTGGCACGACAGCGGGCACCGAGCCATCTAACAGAACCACAGGCACCGGGTCACCAAGCTCGACAGCGGGTACTGAGTCATCTGGCATGACAGCGGGCACCGAGTCATCGGGCACCGAGTCACCGGGCAAGTCAGCGGGCACGGAGTCATCAGGCACCGAGTGATCTGGCACGACCGCGGGCACCGAGTCACCGGGCAAGTCAGCGGGCACCGAGTCATCGAGCACGTCAGCGGGCACCGAGTCATCTGGCAGAACCACGGGCACCTGGTCACCAAGCTCGACAGCGGGCACCGAGTCACCGGGCAAGTCAGCGGGCACCAAGTCACCGGGCAAGTCTGCGGGCACCAAGTCACCGGGCAAGTCTGCGGGCACACCGTCACCGGGCAAGTCTGCGGGCACCAAGTCACCGGGCAAGTCAGCAGGCACCGAGTCATCTAGCAGAACAGCGTGCAACGAGTCATCTGGCATGACAGTGTGCAACGAGTCATTTGGCAGAACAGTGGGCACCGAGTCATCTGGCAGAACAGCGAGCACCGAGTCACCAAGCTCAACGGTGGGCACCGAGTCACCAAGCTCAACAGCGGGCACCGAGTCATCTGGCATGACAGCGGGCACCGAGTCATCTAGCAGAACCACGGGCAGCGGGCACTGAGTCACCGGGCAAGTCAGCGGGCACTGAGTCACCGGGCAAGTCAGCGGGCACCGAGTCATCTGGCACCGAGTCATCTGGCACGACAGCAGACATCAAGTCCCCGGGCAAGTCAGCGGGCATGGAGTCATCGGGCATCAGGGCATCAGGCTGGACAAAGGAAGGCTGGTCCTCAGACAGCAGGCTGACCGGTTTGGATACTGGTAGGATGGTACTGGTTGGAAAGAATTTTTGCTTCTTCTTGGGTTTAGTTACTGGAGCACTGTAAGTGAATGCAGGTCTGTAAACGGATGGATGGAGCAGCTAAAGACAGGGAAGAGCCGGAGGATGGAACAAAGGATGGAGCAGTTGCTACAGAGGGATTCTTTACAGGGTAAAAGGCAGGATAGGTGCAGCGAGTGGGAGCAGGGGACTGACATGTGGTAGCTAGCAGGGTATACTGGGCTGTCACTGGGGGTGCTGTGGGAACTGGAGGAAGAGAGCTTTGAGCAGAGTAATGGTTAGAAGCAGGACTGGGTTGTTGCAAGCTGACTGAGGCTGGATGTAACAAATCTGACCATGTCTGCAGTACTGGCTGAACAAAGCTCAGCTTACACAAAGCCCGTCTGGTCAAAGACTGCACTGCGTTTATACAATCCCTAAGCACCTGTGATGAACATGCAGAATAATGCTCCAAGAAGCAATCCACATCATCCTCTAATAACCATACCAGGGACTCTACCTGGTCTGCACTAAATGGCGGCAAAAAGTCATCCCTTCCCTCAGGGGCACCAGACGAAGCCAACTCTGCACAAACCTGAATCAATGGCTGCACCTCAGAGAACTCTGTGCCCTGATCCACTAGAAAATGAGCGATCTGTATGCATTCTAGCAGCTGATCCCTGGTATACTCCTTCAGAGTCTCATAGGCATAATCTCTGTCATCAAAGACTAGCAGACACAAATATACAACATCCTCAGGATGCATCCTTCACAACAATAAGCCAAGATGGCTTCCCTGTGCAGCCACATCTGGTCAGGACTGGCCTTGGTGTTCTGTTAGGGATCCGGGTATGACCAGAAATGTGTGGACTGACACAGGGAAGTAGCAGGCTTCAGGAACACAGGCGTAGTCAGGCTGGAGTGGTGGAATGGTCAGGCAGGCCGTAAGGTACTGTCAGGTGCCGCCTGGCAGTGTCTCTAGCAGCCCACAGCACGGATTTCCTCAGGGCGTGGGGTCTAAGTCCCAGCCTGCTATTCACCAGGGCCCCTGATGGTGGGGATGGACTTGGTGCAGACTGGAACCAGGTCGTGACCCCTGATTGCGTCCGGCTGTGGTAGAGAGTACTGGCAGGGGAGTGCAAGAACGGAGTCTGATGGGAAGAGGCAGGCAGACTTACTAAAGGTGATCCGTGCGGGATGGATGGATCGTCGGGTGAAGTAAGCGTAGTCAGACAGGCCGGGTCGGTATCGTGCGGGCAGCGTGGCACAGGAGGAGCAAGCAGAGAATGGTCGGGATCACAAGCCAGGTTCAGCAGGTAGCGGGCAGCGCGGTACCAAGGATCAGGCAGAAGGATGGTCAGGCAAGCCAGGGGTTCAACAGGAGACGGTCAGCAGAGGTCAGGATCAAAGCAGGGTCAGCAACGAGGCAGGAACACAGGATACCAGGTACAGGGGCTCATGGTAAACATACACCAAGGCCCTGATCACAGGCCTGGTCATTCCTTAAATACACTTCCAGCAATCAGCTTCAGGTGTTGGCTGACTGCAGGAGTGCGCTTCTGGCTGCTGAGAGCACCCGCTGGTCAGCCCTGGTACTGCAGCCCACACGGCAGGTGAGTCCCACCACCAGTGCTGAGTCCATTCCTGACAGCACCTCATTTCAGTGTTGGCGCCTTGAGACTGAATCCAGGCCTATAGTTATTTATTTAGGGTCTCTGTTTGTGTCAGGCCACAAGTGTTGTTACTGATTATTGTAAGAACTCCACAACTTAAAGTGACATTTCACATTGGAGAGCTGATAAAATCCCACAAACTCAAGCCAGACTGGTGTTTTGCTCAGAAGGAATACTCAGGCATGTGCTACAGGACCAATTATGGGAGGGGGAATACTGTAGATTTGTGTAAGATTGTAAACTGGTGTGCTGCACCACAGGCTAGCCCAGCAATGGGCAAACTACGGCCCGCGGGCCGTATACGGCCCGGCGGACCTTTTAATCCGGCCCGCGGAGCTAGGCTCCCGCTAGGCTCCTGCTAGGCTCCTCTCACAGTCCGCCCTGAAGACCGGTGTAGCATGAAAATCTGTCTCCTATGAGGATCTGTCCCCCTCGACGTATCTGCGCATGTGCCGGAGATCGCCGATCGGCTGCTAATGCCTGAAACTGGCACATGCGCAGATACGTCGAGGGGGACACATCCTCATAGGAGACAGATTTTCATGCTACACCGGAACGGCGCGGGAACACGGTGAGAGGAACGCTCGGAGCAAAGGTAAGTGAATTGACACAGGGGGGACTTGGGGACTTAATATGGGGGATGAATTACTATGGGGAATGAATTACTATATGGGGGATGAATTACTATATGGGGGATGAATTAATATGGGGAATGAATTACTATATGGGGGATGAATTAATATGGGGGATGAATTACTATATGGGGGATGAAGTACTATGGGGGATGAATTAATATGGGGAATGAATTACTATATGGGGGATGAATTAATATGGGGGATGAATTAATATGGGGAATGAATTACTATGGGGGATGAATTACTATGGGGGATGAATTAATATGGGGAATGAATTACTATATGGGGGATTAATTACTATGGGGAATGAATTACTATATGGGAGATGAATTAATATGGGGAATGAATTACTATATGGGGGATGAATTACTATATGGGGGATGAATTACTATATGGGGGATGAATTACTATGGGGGATGAATTACTATGGGGGATGAATTACTATATGGGGGATGAATTACTATGGGGGAATATTACTATACTTACTATGGATGACATACACATCATTCATCTACTCTTGGTCCGGCCCCCGGGTCCAATATATGAACCCATTGCGGCCCGCAAGTTAAAAAGTTTGCCCACCCCTGGGCTAGCCCATACCATACACCCATACACTGATTCCTGCTCTTTTAGGGTAATAACAGGTAAGGTGTGGCAGCTTAGTTGTGCCTGCCAGTAGGTAAATTACTTCAGTTTCTACCTTCATCCATCAGAAGGTGCCGTGCTGTGCAGCACAAGGGTCTCAGCCTTTGGGCTGGGTGTATGTAAATTTATTGTATGTTTCCAGCATTTGTGGTTGTGTTTATTTTCCACATCTAAGTAAAATTCTGTTGTGGCAAAAGCTGGTGTTGGGATTGCTTTCCTCGTTCGTGACTTCACTGTATCCTGGGGAGCCCACCCCGGTACACGGCTTATACCTGCGACTGCTCATCCTTCACCCAACTGCTCTCAGATATTTCCTTATCTTATTTGGGTTGTAGTACCAGTGCTTTGTTGTAAGGGAACAAAAGCCCTGCCTTTACCAAGATTGCCACCTCCAAACAGAGACAGTGTCCAACAGGGCAATGTAAGTTGGTAATGGAAAAAGATCATCTGCAGGGGGTCAAATGAAATATTGGTGACTAGTGCTTTTCACTCTCCTTGTCTTTTATTGGGTCCAAATTACAGAGTTCACGTTAATGCAATTTATTATATGAGGTTGTTAGACATAAACTGGAAATTAGCTATGAAGACAATACAGGCATGATATTTCATAACTTTGATTTTTAGAGACACAATAGAAACCCTGAAATATATGCTGTTTAAAATATTACTTCTATATATACCTTTTTAATTATGCCTTCAAGTGTATAATACCTGTCTAACAACATACAATAGTTTTACTTGATTTTTGCATTTTGAATTTTTCTTTGCAGACTGAGTATCCATAGAGAGTTGTTGTCATCTATAGCAGGACTTTAAAATAAACAGAAGCACTGTGGGATTTATTATGACTGCTGTAGTCAATATCCAAAGAAATATGTTACACAGCGCAGCTAACCACATTGGATAGTTTTAGCCCATCCCTTTACGCAGATTTAAACTTATTGATTCAGTATATCACATAGGACATATTACATAAAGAAATATGGGGCAACGAAATGAAGGATAAACTGTGCAGTTAACTAAGAATTAATGTAGAATCAACGTGCATACTAAAAATGATGAGTCCAAAAGGACAAAACATCTGTCCTTGAATGGGTCCACTGACTGCACTTGAAAATCATAAATCATAAATGGCAGGTAGATATAATTCATGTGCTTTTCATTTC